ACAGCTAATCAGTCTTAGGTGCCATTTGATGTAACAAAGTCTGGAGGCCTGTAAGATGCACAGAGCGTATCTGGGCAAAGGCCAAAGGAGGGAGAGCCAAAAGTCTTTGGTAAGCACTAAGCCTTTCGGTTGCTTTAAAGTGGGATCAACAACCCTCTTAACTAGATCTCTGCTCCATGACAAAGACTGATTTATAACTGACTTTTAATGAACCCTACTTCCTTGTCACCTGCTGCTAATATATGCTTTCTTTTCCAGACCCTTACAACAGAAGCTTGTTTTTCTTCAAAGTTTCTTTCCTTGCAGGTAGCCCAGACCTCCCAACACATCTGAAGCCAACTGAGAGGCATCCTATGTACCACTTGATTTCTGACTCTGCAGCTGCCTGGATTGCCATAGATCATGGACCTCTCTTCTTCTATCACCACTATTTAGCAATCAATAACAAAAAAGCTTCAACAGGTTTGAATAAGCCACCATTGTTTTCAGGGCTTATACAGATCCACATTCCAAGCCTTATTATGAGATTTGGGTCTCAGTGCTAGAAACATTTTCAACTGAGTGAGGGGTCTCAGGCTTCTATGCTGCACGAGTATTTACTATCATCTTGACTCATCCTTAGCTGCAGAAATGAATCACATGAGCATGTTACCATGTTGAAAAAGTTGTTGAAGTCAACAAATTTCAACACTGCACAGGCCAAGAGCGCACAGAGCACACTACGCCATGCATGGTAATTCACTACAGAAAGTCATTCATATCTTGAGTCTGCAAGGAGGAGTTACAAATGCCTACCACCAACACAATCTGAGGATCTGACAGTGGTGTAAAAGTGTCCACAAAGAAAAAACAATGGACAGATGCAGCAGAAGGGGATTAAACTTTCTACCACTGTTACCTCTGATTTAGATGCATGAACATCAATGGAAGAAGGTAGTCACCAACACTACTATTGCCTAGAGGAACGGTAAATCAGAGACCCAGGGCATCTAATTTGGCACTAGGGACTCCTATGCATCAAGGCTCATATAAGAACTACCATAAGCAACTGTGAGAAGTTTTTGAAAAACACCTTTCGTTTGTAAGTGGAGCCAGAGGAGCGTAAAATATTCCAGGAACCTGCGCAACACACAAATTTAAGCAGAACTTCAACAACTTAATACCATTTCTATATGGATAAATGAAAGGGGTTTTCTTGACAAGACAAATTGCAAAACTCTTTACTATTCACTGTGAAAATATGTTGTCTCCTTTTATTTACTGCCTATTAAGCTGCAAATATCTGCTGACCATTAAAAAGATCGAAACATAAAGGCAGCATAGTACTTGTGGAGATGTATAAATGCATACACTGATGCCTCAAAAAACCACTCAATCAATTCCTTTTTTTCCCTCTTTCCTTTATTCCAGCCAACATTATTGAGAACACTTATCAGACAGTTCTTTAGTCCAAGCAATCATAAACACTGTCTCACTGCACAGATCCAGTTTATCGGAACAATAATTTAACACATAAAGAATTTTGTATATATATATGTACATGTACATTTACGTACATGCATATATTTGTACAAGAGCATGTATGAACTGAGTTAATCTGCAAGCCTGTAGTACAGCAGGTGGTTAGATTTTAGTGAGGTATGGATAAATATTTTTCTGTATCTTATCCATAGCCTTTTAACAAAAAAAGTAAGTGACTGTACTTCAGATTATGTATCTGTTGCAGGGCCTGCCCCTATTACATGCTGGATGTTGTCCATAAATCCTATTTCCTCAACTCCTAGCAAAGTTAGGGAAAACATGAAAGAGTAATTTTGCAGAAGGGCTGTGCAGCTTGCATGATCAGACCCAAAGCCAGAAAAAGAAACATAACTTCTTGTCTTCCCATAAAACCTAATGACAATTTTACGTATGCATAAAATTACAATAAGGAAAATAGCCACTTGGTTTCATACAAATACAGAGGTGGGTAAATGGCATGTTTGCCTGAGTATGCATACGGGAAGAGAGCGCAGGAAGCTCTCTAATGATGGAATAGAATAGAATAGAATAGAATAGAATAGAATAGAACAGAACAGAACATTATATTTCAGTTGGAAGGGACCTACAACAATCATCTAGTCCAACTGCCTTACCAATTCAGGGCTGACCAAAAGTTAAGCATGTTATTAAGAGCATTGTCCAGAAGCCTCTTAAACACTGACAAGGCATGGGGCATCAACCACCTCTCTAAGGAGCCTGTTCCAATGTTTGACCACCCTCTTGCTAAAGGAATGGTTCCTAATGTCCAGACTAAACCTCCCCTGACGCAGCTTTGAACCATTCCCACGCGTCCTATCACTGGCTACCAGGGAGAAGAGATCAGCACCTCCCTCTCCACTTCCTCTCCTCAGGAAACTCTAGAGAGCAGTGAGGTCGACCCTCAGCCTCCTTTTCTCCAAACTAGACAAAGCTGGTGTAAAACATTAGGACTCACTTTGAGCATTACAGATATCCACATCAGTGAAGGGGGGAAGTCAAAATGACCAGTCCCAGTCAGTGACTGTGCACAGCTGTGAGGGAGATGGTGCAGGATGCTAGACAGAGTAACCTAAAACATCACAACATGCCTGATCACAGTCCTGATTATAGCCTTGTCTGGAAGACTTTTAGCAAGCACTTTATGTTGAGATCTGCTTACTAATTGTTTTTATTCTGAGAATGTACTGATACAGCCACCTAGAATATAATTAAAAACATCACAGGAAGACAATTTTCCCATCTGAGAAGTCAGTGCATAAAATTTAGTTTACAGAAAATATCATTGCTATATAAATAGAATAGCTTACTCCATTGAACCATAGGGTTTGTGGTTCTTCTCTGATAAGTGAACAGAAAAACTTGCCAGTAGTCTTCAGTTTAAGTTAAATTGTACAATCACTAGGTTATATTAATGAACACAAGCTCAAGACTCAGCAGCTATTTTAGTATTCTGACATATATTTCCTTTGAGTATTTTATGGGTATTCATCCACGTCATTGTCAAATGCCTGGTATATCTTGGATTTGTTTGATTCTGTATGAAAAGAGCTCATTTGTATAAAAATATTTTCTTTTAAAAAGTGTCCAGACTTTCTAACCCAAAGGCCTTGAAGGAAAATCTCTGGAGTAATTGATTATACAGATTCCCGTTTC